TTCACATTGGATACACAGATTGACTTTTCTCCCGTTATATCTTAAAATGAGGATTCGAAACATTCACATTTTAAAATGAAAGTTAGATATTCTATTCATGGTCCCTGAAAGTCTCAGTGGTGCCTGGGGCTACCGCCTAGATGTGCCGGGCAGACACTTTCCTGGGAAGTGGGTCAGACTCTTGCCTCCTGAGTGCACGACCTGAACCCTCTCTCTGAGCAGGCATGTTGAAGTGTGGCTTGAGTGACAGAGAGGAGGAGGAAGGGTGGCTCCTTGCAGGGAACCTAGTGGAACCCCCTGGTGACAGCTTGGGTGTAGGAGGAAAAAAGAGGGGAGATAAGTGTCAGAAATTAAGAAAGGTAAGTGGAGCCCCTACCTGAGTTTATTTTAAGCATTTTCTCTGTATACCAGTGAGATGAGGGTTGAATTAAATGTGACTCAGTGTCCCCAGATGCCAGCAATCTGTTATAAGAAACCCTTCAATAACTTATCCTGAAGAATACTTATTACAAGCCCTCCCCCTCCCCAAAATGTCTTTTATTAAAAGTGGAGAAATCACCCCGCATGCACACAGAAACTCCCATCGTGTAACCTGGCTCCACCATGATGGGCTGTGGCTAACCCATGAGGAAGCATCCTCAGTACAGGTCTCTGCGGATCCTGGGGGGTCATAAGGATTTCTTCTCATTGACAGTTTCTTGGCAGTCTAGAATCAGTCACCCAGGCCACACATGCCAGTCTCTGGCCAGATGGCTTACACCCATGTAAAGTCACTGCTGCCTTTAGACATTTTCTCCATGAAAGTTTCTCTAATAGGCTCTTTCAGACAAAGACCCAGTGGGGCTCACATTAGTAATAATATAGCAGTGCATTGCGTTAAATTACATTGTGAAAGCCATTATTACCTCAGAAGTATCTCCCTCTAGGTCTAGCTGGGGCTAGACAGCTCCCAGCTGAATCACTCCTCAGGGCCTCTCTAAGGAAATCAGCAGCTGGGCAAGAGTAGGAGGCCTGGAACTTCGGACAGAGGTTGGGGCCTGAGACCCTGTTGTCTTTGCATGGTGTCTGCCGTGGGATTGTCCTCTCGGCACCCACATGTCAGAGTCCACAGAGAAGGTAGGCAGAGAGCATGTGCCCCCAAGTCACAGGATGCGAGTTCAAGTCCTGCCTTTGCTACTTCTTAAGGGACCTAGAGAAATTTATCTTTTGGTAGAATACACAATTACGAAGTACGATTAGAAAATGACATATAATTAAATTTAGGGAAGATTTTGAAACACTCCTACCCTCCCACCCTGCCCTCTTATACAAAAGACATATTGTATTTATTCTTGTTCCTCTCTCTAGTACAACCTAATCCAGTGAATTTGTTTTGTTTCTCAGTACAATAAAACTAGACATATAAATTAATAGGACTTTTGTGAAGATTAAATTAATGTGATTAAGTACCTGGTACTTTGAAGTTAACGCAGTGATATACTATGTCCTTCACTTCTCATAGGATATAAAAAATTCTGCCTCAGGGCTCTTCCCAAGCTCAGTTGTCTCTATCAACTTGACGGGCTCATCTGTCTCCTACCTACTCTACAAAGACAGTAGCTAACAGTTTAAACAAGTTAAAGGCGAGTGATAATCCTGTACAGAGTAGTGGTCAGAGAACGATGTCCTGAAATTTCATAAATGAAGCCATTCACCATCTAGCTGTTGCTGAGATACCAAGGCTGAGTGAAACTACAAAGCCCAAGTGATCAAAGACCTGCACAGCCTGGTTTTAAAGTACAGAAACAACTGGAGAGCAAAGACATACACATGTAAGCTAAATGTAGTCACAGGAGTCTAAGGTTACAATTAACTGGGGGATATGGTCCCCCAGAGTTTTGTGTAGGATCAATGCTAGTTAAGGTGGGGGTTACATAGTATTGGGCCAATGTTTGGTAACGCAAACATGAGAGGCAGCAAGGTTGAGAAAAACAACTTGCTAACCCAAGAATGACAGAGGTATTTTAACTTGGTTCTGGCTTTCCCAAGAAGCAGAGTACAGAATCAGAAATGAGGATTTTAATCCTAGCTGTTCGGCTTAAAAGCTGGAGACGCTGGATACATCACAACCCTTTCAAGTTTTAATTTTCTCAACTTTAAAAAATATGTAAGAACTTTGTTTATGGTTACAAGATTCAATGAGAGAATGATTTGTAAACAGTTTATATCCATGATTCCCAGAACTGCCTGTATATTAAAATAACCTAGAGCAATTGCTAAAAATACGGCTTTGTAGTTGAACAAAGCTATGACCCACAGGACAGAATAGGGCAGATGTTTTCTGACCTCCCATGCTCAGATCCCCTTAACTTAACCTAACCAGAAGCTGATCAGCAGGGGTTCTAGGTGATACAACTGGTGAAGATCCTTTTTCTAATAAATACAAAGGGGGAATAATTCATTTTCTTCCTTCTCAAAACTTTCCAGTGGCTCCCCGCTGCCCACTAAACAAAGCCAAGCCTCCCTAGCTGACCACTCAAGTCAAGAATGGTCAAGCCATACTCCACGCCCTCCTGCCACATGCTTCCTCCACTCACTGCTCTCGTATTTACGCCTGGTATGGCTCGACTGCCCGCTGTATCTTCTCAGGTCTTCTGCTGCTGGGATGCCCTCAGCCCCATCTGTTTCAGGAGCTCTGACTCAGCCTCAGTACAAGTCTGTGTTAATCATGGAGGAGACCAGGCTTTTTCTTTGATCATCTCCAAGCAAGAGAAACCCTTCTTTCCCTCGCTACTTTCTACAGATTTCCTTGAGCCACTGTACAATTCATTGCGTACCATCCCACTCAAACCTGCTACCCCTTACGGTGAAGTTACTTGTTACTTGTGTCCTTCTAGTACTTCCCCAGTTAGATTAAAAGCTCCTGGAGAGTAAAACTCAAATCTTGCGTGCCTGCTCAAGATGCCTCCTCCCTTCCCCTAGCTCACCAACTCCTGTGCCTTCTGAAGTTGAGACTAATGCTAGTTCCTCTGTCTCCACCCAACAGAGCCAATTAATCTCCTTCTCCTCCAATAGGTCTATGCAATATGCACTTCCCCAGCCAAGAAGGCAGTGTGGTGGTAAGAAGCACACACTCCCCATTCTGGCTGCCTGGGTTCAGGCCTTAAGTCGTTCACTGAAAAGCTGTGCAACATGGAGAGAGGGCTTTACCTCTCCGTATCTGGAAATGAGCACAGTGCTGGGCTCAGCTTATTAAATGCTGAATACGTGGTAGCTGCTGACATTGTAACTCGAGTCTAAGCTCCCTGAAGTCAGGGTCTGTCCCTAGTATCCACCAATGCCACCCAGTGCCTAACACAGCAGGTGCTTTGCTGCTGACTGGTTACGTTGATAAGTCAAGCAGTAGGTATTCAGTGTACATTGGTGAGTTAGATTGTTGCTTAAAAGAAATGAATGAATGAGGAGATGAGTGAATAATGTTATTTAATCAGAAGGTTAGTCATTTGCATGGTCGAATTAACAGACAGATTTTCCATAAATAGCAGATGTTCCATAAATGTTAGCTGTTTGAATGAATGAACTAATATCCCTAGAATATAACAGCCTGGAGCCAAAGTCAGAGAGGACATAACAAGAGCATGCGGAGGAGAGGGGAAGAGGGTGTTACACACTGATCCTTGTCCCTGCTGAAGCTCTCCCTCCCCAAGCCACGATGTGGCTGTTTCTGTAGATTGCTTTTGGCTGCATTATGGGAACCTGGGAGTACTGGGGGGTCGGGGGGGTAAGAGGCAAAGATAGGCTATCCTGCCCCACTTTTCCCACTCAGTTGACCCCCATGAGAGCCTTCCTCTGCCATGACTGACGAGGAGAGGGCCTGTACCCCAGAGCACATTAGAAGCAAATTCTGTATCACCTGGCTCAAAGGGGCAGGTATATGGGCTAACTGGCTCACATATTCTTGGCCCCATTCCCTGGCCCTGCTTCTCTCCTGTGGCAACCCTGGCAACTCAGACCTCCAATCAATGAATTATTTTGCAGTATGTCTGGCAATGCATGAACTGAAAATCTTACACATGTTAAAGGATTTTGCCATCTCCATTAAATATGCCATTCATTTGGTGGGCAATTAAATGTACAATAATGTGCTCTAATTTCCATCTTAAATGACTTCTTAGGAACAGCAGAAAGGGAGACACAGGGTATAATTTTCTGGAAGAGACTTTTTCCCCTCAAAGCTTTTCAGAAGCTAGGAGGAGGAATTGAATAAAATCAAGTTGATTTTGATAGTGTTACCATGTAAGGCATCTGCAATCACACACCCTCTCTCTCACACTCTTGGGGAAAGAGACTAAAGCCTGTGACACAAAAGAAGCCCCATCCCCAAACTATGGGCAGCCCAGGGAGGCTGTGCTGGCAGTCTGAACTTGAGAAGCAGAGAAGCTGGCAGCAGGAGAAGCAGGTGTGGTAAGGAGGAAGCCCCCTTCAGACCTGCCACATATCTGAAGGTGATATGCCTTCCTCCCCCTTTCCATAATTCCCACCCCAACGTGTGTAAGTAGACAAAGACACACGCACACACACACGCACACACACACACAGAGCTTTGCTATCTGACTCTAGAAACACCAATTTAAGCAGCCAGAAAGCAGAGGGGAAGTAAAAGGGTCTGTACTATGCAAGGAATGAAAGGACCCAGGTGTGGAAGCTCCCCCCTGAGGAAGCAGCTTGGACTCCAAAGTCAGAGCTCTGCCACATGCTGTGAGACTATGGTTGAGTTTCTCAGCCTCTCAGAGCCTCAAATTCCCCATCTGGAAGATGGTAGTAGTGAAACCCAACTCAGATAAAAGTAACAAAGCAGAAACCACGTGTCAAACCCCTGTATAACCCTGCACACAGCAGCAAGCTCTCAGGACCGCGGGTCCCTCTTGCCCTTCCCTCCCTTGGTTGGAGTTGAGTTGATACAGGCTTCTGTGAGTGAACAAGCAACACCAAGGCCCCATAAGGTACCACTCACCCTCAGATTCCTCCTCACTCAATGGTATCGGTCCTCAGACCAGCTCACGCTCTCCACTTCTCTCCCTTATCCCATCTCCAGGAAGGCTCAGCCCTTCAGGGGGAATGAAGATCTGCAGGGAGGCTGAAGAGGTCAACGTGGGCTCCAGGTGCAAATGCAACAGTAGCTTCACAAATGAGGGAGGGTAGAAAAGGCCAAAGCCAGGCCATGTGCTTTTGTTCATGACCTGTGGTGAATTCACAAACTTTCTGGGAAGCCTGGGAGGCAATGTTCCTTCACAGACACTTCAGGGGTTGAGGCCAAGGGACACCAAGCAGAACTTTCCACTTCACTGCCATGAACTTGGAGAGCCCAGTGGAAGGACTGTCACTGGCCAGTACCTCTCTGGCCTGGCTCTCTCCATGAGGCCTCTGAGTGTGGATGTGGGTGCTGAGAGGGGCTGAGGTCCATAAGTGAGGCTGTCTCTCTGTGCCTCTGCATGTCTCCATCCTAGGAATCTGGAAAGGAGATAAGTAAATAGCTCTGATCTCAGGCCAGGAAATGGACTGCACAATAGCTTAGAGGGAACCTGCCTGAGGAAGAGGTAGGATTGAAGAAACAATAAAAAGAAATGATTTCGTTGACTCAAAGCAAGTTTCCACTCAAATGAAAAAGAAGGGAGTAAATATGTATTGGAGGGGCAGGTCCTGTATGAGGCAAAATCATACTAGAACTTCCAAGGACCCAGCGGTAGTACCACCATTCAGCAAGGTTAAGGGCCAGCCCTCGGGCCACTCAGGATCAATGTCCTTTTGCTTACTCAATTATTCAACCAAAATTTCTATATTGTCAACTTTGCATGAAGCAGCCTACTTACGTAAACGTTACAGTTTTTAGAGGCAGCTAACTTAACTAATTTAAATGTTACAGCTAATTCAAGTCCCCATTCTTTACTGGTTCTATGATTTTGGCACATTATCTGAGGTTCCAGTTCCCACATCTCTGGAATAGGATTGTTATGAAGGATAAATGAGAAAACACCTACAAAGCACTTAGCAGAATGACTAGCACATAGTTTAGCAGTAACGAGAAAACATAAGTCATTGCTGTTGTATGAAGGCAACAGGGTAAGGCCTTAAGATTTTCAAAATATCCCCTGGACAATCAATGCTTAGAACATAGTTTACATGCAGCTATGCCCCAAGGAAGAGAATGTTTTGTCTTATTTGTTGTCTGAAACATCCACAATAGGGTTTTGTGCATAAGAGCTCAGTAACTATTTGATAAACTCCTTGATCACCGAGGATTAAAACATTGCAGCAACAAGTATTAGCTACTTTATTAGTTATTTCAGTAATAACAAGTATTAATCTATTACCTTATACAGGGGGATTGGACTGACAGCTAGAAAATTAAGCTTGGGCAATGACACAGACCTAAATTTAGGGTTAGCCAGTTCCCAGAGGATGATTCTAAAGCATTTTATTTGAATTTTCACTCATAGTACAACACTCATCTCTTAATTTTGGAGCAATACTGAATACCCTCTGGGAGAATGCCAATGTACAATAAAACTCCAGCTTGTGAGAAGGAAAAGGCAAATCTTGAGAAGGAACCAGGCATAAATTCATAAACTCGCAGGGCATCATCACCCAAGCTTGCAGGTTTCTCCTTTCGCCTATAATTTGAAACCATGAAAGCAGCAGAGAGGAACTTTCGAATCACGGTCAGACCACCCACTCACCTGATGCTGAGAACGCAGGACCCAGAGGCTCCATGTCTTGGACAAGGCCACAGCTAGTGACGCCGCTGTACATGTGATATCCTGGCTCCACTGGGATGATCTTTCCACTCCCCTGACTGTTGTCTTCGCTGGGGTATGAATTCATCTGAGACAAGGTCCTTGAGTACGGAGCTTAGGCAGAGCTGGTGCAGTAGGGCAGCCAAGCCCGGGACCTGGAGGCTGGCAGGAACCAGACCCTCAGCTCCCAGCGAATCTACACTTTTTCTGGGCTCTCTCTCTCTCTGGCATTTTCTCATGGCCTTCCCTTGCACAGCTCATCTTCCTTCTCACAGTCGAGCGTGCAGTCGCTGAGTGCCGCTGCCCTTATAGCCCACCTCTAGGCTCAGGTGTGCACACTTATGCATGCCCACACCCACGCTCCAGGTGTCCACCATCAGGTGCAATCTAGGCTGCAGGCCTCAGAGGCTAGAGCACAAAAATCTGAGCAGCGCACTTACCCTACAGACAGCCAAGTCCCACTACTTATCAGAGGCACCCAGGGGGCATGGCTGCCCGCAGATTCCTGATGGAGTAACTCCTAGTCACCATCACCACCACCCACTGTACCTTAGCTTGAAAGGTGAAACTGTTAAGCATGTTTACATCAGCCATTAAGCCCCCTGACCAGGACAATTAGTCCTAAAAAACAATTAGAATTAGCATCTGCTTTTGATAATGAAAACAACCTGAGACATTTTTAACAATGGAGGCTGAGAGAGGGCCTGGGTGGAAGGTGGGGCTGGGGGGGTCATAGCTGTCTCTCCAAGGTGCTTCCCCCCACCATGAACCCAACCTCAGAGGAATCCATGAGACCCACCTTCCAGCCCCAGTCCTCTGGGAGGTCACATCAGCAATACACCACAGCAGGACTAAGGTTTGCTCTGGCCTCCTGGCAGGAGTACAGAAAAGGAAGTTGAAGGATGTAGGGTGCTGTTAGCACCATTTGAATCTAGTTGCTGCCACGCTACTCCTTTCCTCAGGGACCTAGTCCCTCCTCTTTTCTCACAGTCTCTGCATACTCCAAAGACATCTCTACCTTGTTCTTCAGGCAAAGTCTCAAGTGATAATTAAGGGACCTCTTTTACCATGCTATACCCACAGGTCCTAATATGCAGTAATCACTCAGTAAATGCTAACTAACCCATAACCCCCAAGCATTAGCATTCATTTCCAAGGCAATTCTGTCATTTTAATTGTTACACCAACCTCAGCTAAGGTATTGGTTTACTGGAAAAGTCATGACACATTTTTGCTTGAAAAACATAGAAAAAATATGCCATGACTTTTCCCAAAACCCAATATTTAAGACCCTTCAGATGTGAGAGTCTATGGGCACCATTCACAGATGGAGAAACAGAAGTTGAAACCCTCCCTGGTAGCGCGATAGGTTAAAGCATAGCTAACTGCAGATGATTCAGCACCAGTTCGATCCCTGGCCAGGGAGTAACCCACGTGGCGCGGCAGACCTCTCCTGACCCACCTGCTGCTCTCCTCAACAGTGTACTTCATCAATCTTCCTGTTCTGCTCCCCACTCTGTCTCTGGGGAATCCTCTCACCCCCTGCACCCCTGACCTATACCCCAGTTCTGTATGTATAAAGTAAATAAATCTTAACAAACAAACAAACAAGCACACAGTGAAGAGCACTTGCCTAGGAGTAGCAAGCTGTTTGCAGTGTCTTCTTTGTGGCCTGCACCGCCCACCTGTTGTGCTGGAGCCCTGTGGGTCGTGTGATCAGTCCTCTTTGCAGTGGTACTTTGTGGACTTGCCCTTGGCCCTGAACTAGGGTGTGCTCCATGGGTGGTGTGTGGCTGTACTTGGCGTCTGGCTGGTGTTGCTGTACGGCATGCCTGACACCTCTAGGTTCCCTGCTGCTCTGGCCCAGGGTAGTGTGCCGTGCCCACAGAAGCCGGAGGTGTCCTGAGGGCAGCTAGCTGCAGGAGGCATGGTGCCAGGTGGCCAGCTAGGTTGCAAGAGGTGTCTGGGGTAGCCAGTAGTGGCATCTGCAAGAACATGTGTCTGAGGCCCTGTGACGTGGGCCCCAGAGGCAGGCCTTGGGGGTGCTCAGCCGGGGCCTTGCAGAGAGTATGTAGGGCTGAGTCCCACCAGGCTGAGGTGCGCAAGACAAGACATTCTCCCACTAAGCTTTATGTGGGGAATGAGAGGGAAGAGAAGAGAGAACTCACTTGTCAGTTTAAGCTGATTATTCCACCATGAGGGCATTTATGACTGTGAAAAAATGCTTCTACACATTTGCTCTCATCTCATAATCACCGTCCTGCAAAGGGGAAAAGGTGTATATTATTCCCATGCTATCTGCATTGGAAACTGAGGCTCAGAAAAGTCAAATAACTTTCCCACAGCCAAGGCAAGAACTGAGCTTCTAAGTTCTGTTGGGAATGTTTTACCCTGAGGCCTGTTGGAAGACACTATGGTAGTTGAGCTTATTTTCTGTTCAGGAGGCAGGAGTGGTTCAAACAACAGAAATTTTGGAACCAGAAAACTTATGAATTTGAGTCTTGTTCTTCCTCTTCACTTAATGTATGAACCTGGGTGTTATTTATCCTCTCTGAGTCTTATTTCCTTATTTACACAAACAAGAAAAGACGCCCTCGCAGGGCTTCTGCAAAGACACACCCAGCTCAATGCCTATGACAGAAGGGGTAACCCTAGGTGCTGGTTCCTCCCTGCTCTTCTGAGCTGGGCTACTGACTTGGCCTCACGGAGGGGCCACACACGCATCCTCAGAGCTGTAGTTAGGTTACCGCCAGCTCTTTGCTCATGGACGGGTCTGAATCCATCATGATTCCTGGGTGCTGACAGCTTGAATTGTGTTGGCTATGAGTAAGGGGTACATGATGCTCAGACAAAGGGCAGGGGTGGACAGAAAATGCTGAAATGTTAGCAGCCATGACTTAGGAACACCTGCATGCCCAGTGGCACCAGGAGTCAAGAAGACATGCTAAGTGTCACAGTGGTGTCCCTTGGGGTCAACAGCTTCCCTGCACCTCCCTGACTTTCTCTGATATACTTTCTTCTCAATTAATTCACTTAATCCTTTCTCAATGCTGTTTTCATTTTCCAGTAACAAGCTCCATAAAATTGCTCCTAGTAGATTCTTTTTGCTAGTTCTGAAACAAACACTGCAGTTCTAAAAGGTGGTGACCGCTTACTCGGAGACCCAGCACATGGGGCAGCCACCACCCCCATGCTCTTGTTCTAGAGCATGCTGCTCCTGACAATCTGTGCAGCCCAACCCACGTGTCTTCATTGACTCAGTCTACTTGGCTAGCGTTAGTGCTTGAGAAAACCCAGCCTGGCCTCTTGGGACTGTCTGTTAATAGATTGGTTTTGCAATGATGGCCCCACCCTGCTGTTTCCTATCAGCTTTCCAATTCACTTTCATTCCAGGCTCCTTTTAAGCTTTCCAATTTTCTATCTTCAGTGGAAGCTCGAAGGATTACTTCCTATATTTAGAAGGAACAATATCCTGAGGAGGACTCAGGCACAAGGACCACACCTTACCCACAGCCTCAGCCTCCTACTGCCCTTTCTTCCTGATCTTTCCTGCCCTCTTGGCACCTTGGATCATACATTAAATAACTTGGTACCTGAACTCTACAATTAAGAGAGAAAATAGTCTGCCTGGGTCACAGACTCTTAGGACAATTTAGTGACTTGCTCATGATAAATAACATCATGAATCCAGACCATGAATGGCTTAAGCCCAGCATCATAGAGTACATTTCAAAAAAGTTCACACTTTTGCTAAACCCCGAATGTCCAGCATAGCATATTGCACAATTTCTATTGGAACTCTTTTTTAAACCTCGCCAGAAGAACTAGTTCTGAAGTCACTCATAAGAAAAATTAAGGAATAAATGCAATGGTCATTCCCAATAAAAGATAACCTCATGGGTCTCATGTGAGATGTGTAACTTTGGGCAAGATGTTTAAGTTCTTTGTACCTCCACTTCCTCACTATAAGATGGAGATAGTAATAGCAATCATTTCATAGTGTGTAGCAAAGATTTCAGTTATAGTATGTATGAATTGCATCAGACAATTCCCAGCACGTAGTAGGTGCACATTAAAAGAGCAGTCACTGGTCTCCTGTTGGTAGCCAACTTTGCAGAAGCTCCAAGAGAGTGTGTGGGTTGGCACTTGCAGAGGCCTGTGGGGGTCTTTCAATACCCTGATGTCAGGGACACTTTACTTGGACTCTTCCAGTGTCCACAGTCACAGCTCAGACAAGTACCAAGGTTATATAAATGCCAGAGGAGCCCAAGGTAACCTCCCACCTCCCACTCCTGCTCATTAGTATTAGTGAATTAGTGAAGTGTTAATATTAGTGAATGCAACCCTAACTACCCAGAGGCAGCCATGGGAGGGACAGTTGCTGTCTCTGGTACATGCTTAACTCAAATAATCCACATAACAGCCTTTACTCTCAAAGTAAAAATAATCTATTATCAAAGCAGGAGTAATCTCACATATCTTCAGTTTCTATCTATGGCTTTGGGTGGGGAAGGGGAGGTTCTCAAATATTTGTTTTAAATTTCATTTTAAAATAAATTTTAGCCATCTACACCACAATGAAAATGTGTAATAGGCCCAGTTCTGACACATGCAAACCACTAACCCTTTTACTCAAGATGCCAAATTAACTCATTTTTATGCAAGCCTCCGAATGAAGTTTTCCTTTTTTAATTAAAGAGCGTCCTGAGACTCAAAGTCAAGCTGTGAAAAACCCTTATTTCCAGCAGCTACTTAACTATGTAAGTCAAGATTTCTCAGTGCTACGTAACCAAAACCAAAACCCAGAAATAAACTGGGTGCTGAGACCGATGCCACTGCAGCTTGGTGCTTAGCTCCTGGCCTCAACTTCCTGTGCCCATCAAATGACACCAACACTTCACTAAGTTTATACGAAGGCAGTCTCACCGGTTTGGAGTCATAAAGTAAATGCATACTAATAAGACTTTACTTTTACCTATTAAATACTTAAGGTTTCAAATAAAGATTTTATCATTAAAAGAATTTTGAAACCTCACTCCAACAGCTCTGATAGCGCTATTACCTTCAGGCTTCCCCCAGCGTACTCTCTCCATAGTACACGCATGACATATGACTATGTAATGGACATTGCATGCGTGTATATAGTGAGCATAGAAGTATAGACCCAGGCTGAGACTAGAACTCTATCCTGCTGAAACACTTCCAGTTGCTCCTCCTGTTTCTCTAAGACACAGTGAGAACTCCTTGGCCCCCCCAAATGGCTCACCGGTGTCAGCCCCTGCTCCGGGTTCACAGTCATAGAATCACTGGTGCTGAACAACTTGCTCTTTCCCAGAATTATTTCAGGGATTACAAGCAGTTTTCCTTGGCCTTGCAAGCTTTCAATGCCTCATCCCCTCCGGGGACCCACCCCAACTCAGCACCAATATCTACCACTCAAGGTCCAACTGAAACAATCTTCGGGGGCCTCCTTGGTGGCAGGAGGGGTTAAATACAACTCTATGAAGCTATCCCCAGTCACTGCAGCAAGAGTTCTTTCCTTGGCCAAGGAGATGACCCACAGGGTGCAGCAGACCTCTCCTGACCTGCCTACTGCTCCCCTCAGCAGTGTATCTCAGTAGATCTGCCTGTTCTGCTCCCCACTCTATCTCTGGGGAATCCTCTCACCCCCCCTACACACACACCTCTGGCCTGTACCCAAGTTCTTGTATGTATAAGTAAATAAATCTTTAAAAAAAAAAACAAAAAACAAAAACACAGAGCCTGCGAAGCAGCCCCATGCCTCACTGGTGCTTCTGTAACATTTGACGCCTGGTCCCGACTGAAATGACTGCTTTCACCTGGTTGTGAGTTTCTACTGAAACAGT